ACTACATTTATGTGCATTTTGAGATTATCTTTGCGTCCAAATGATTTGTGACAAATATCACACTCGAAGGGTTTGCTCCCAGTATATACTGAATTTATGTGATTTTTGAGTACATTTTTGTATCCAAATGATTTGTGACAAATCTCACACTCAAAGGGTTTGTTCCGAATATGTACTGCGTTGAGGTGAAGTTTGAGAATGCGTTTCTCTCCAAATGATTTGTGACAAATCTCACATTCAAAGGGTTTGATACTATCATGTATTGCAACTATGTGAGTTTTGAGGGTACCTTTTTCTCCAAAGGATTTATGACAAATCTCACATTCAAAGGGTTTGCTACGATTATGTACTGAATCTATGTGATTTTTGAGGTAACTTTTGTATCCAAATGATTTGTGACAAATATCACACTCGAAGGGTTCCATACGATTATGTACTGACGTAAATTCATGGTCTGCGATAATAAGCCTTAGGAATTTTTGTATAATTTATCTTGAAAAGTAAAAAGATTTGTATCTTCATTGTTACGGCTAGCCGAAGGTAAAGATCGGGATTTAAACAAACTTCAATTTTTAAATCCCTCAAAGAACAATTAGCACAAATTTTTCTCAAACCTCTATGTACTTTTCTTTTCTGTTTCGTTATTTGATTGTTTGGTGAATTTTTACATTTACAACAATTTCCAAGGTCTCTTCTAAAAAAGTTGGCATTCGGCAAAAGCGGCAAATCGAGAAGCGCGAGAATGCCCTCTTGAATCTTGATTGAACTGCACGATTTGTGGCGCTTGAATACTGCGGCGATATCAACCCGACTTACCCGACTTTTATGGCAGCTTAGTTCTATCAACAGTGCGAACACGATTTATTTACATTTCACAAAATTTACACCGGACTAGAATAAATTACTTAACATCCAAGACCACGATTAGTAAACCACTGAAACCAATCGAAGAATGTTTATTCCCTAATCGATCATAGAATTATTTGTGATACTGGATGTGTGAATCATTGGGCAACTCTTAAAAGGGAATTTCTGCGCGTTTTATCACGTCTGTTTGTAAATAGCTTTTGAATGAGATTTGATCAAGGAGAGACTAATTCAATTAGTGAATACATCTGTTGGTAAGTTTTTCTAACGTGTACGTCAAATCGAATGAAATCTATGCATTTTTAGAATTGAAATTGAGGCTGTTTACACATAGGTATGAGATATGCAACTGTTTTTTCCAAAGATCTTAATTATGAATTGAATACAAGTTAGTAATACGATTAGAGTCAGTGGTTACTTTCAATCAAAGGTAACCCTTCTCAATCATCATACCTAGTATGTATTTATGCTTTCAACTTCATCAAGAATTATAACGTCAATAGAAACTACTGGTTAAATGACATGGAATTTGAACAGATTTATTTGAAAACTGCAGCTACTAAATAACTGTACCTAGTAAATGTTTGTACTAATTTTTGTAAACTGTTTCTTTCAGACTAAAGCGCAATGGATATCCCTAAGTTAACATCCACATCGCTTGAGATAGAATGTCCGTTTACTTGGGACTTGGATCTAGAAGTATGTAATTTTCATGAAAAAGAAGTTGAGTTGTCTAGTCGTCCCATCTTACGTTTCATTGAGATGAACACACTTGCATACATTCGATGTATGCAAAGAAAATTTATTGCTGCTGAAGAATTAGTTAGAGAGATTAATGATATTTGGATCAATATTTTTGAAAGGTTACAATTTTCACAAACATATTTATATCAATTTATATCATTAAAAACAAGTTTTAAGATTATTAAACAGGATTAATCCTTTTTATACTATTTTAGTGTATCAAAGCAAAATGATTATTCAATTGATGTATTCATACACATTAAAGATGCAACAGCTTTTTGTATATATTCAATGATTGAAAAAAAAGATCGAGCAAAAGCATTAGAAATTAAAATTAAAGATGCCAAGAATTTCAATTCTGATATAGAGAAAGGAACATTATATGGATCTCAAGCTGTAGCTTCAAGCTTATTCTTTGATAAAAGTGCTAATAGATTTTTCGAATTAGCAAAATCAGCATCATCAATGGTTCCAGACTGCGCATTGTGGCATTATTTAGCAGCTAAGTATCTTAGAAGAAAAAGACGTTATCAAGATTTTTGTTTAACTGTTTCTAATGAAGAAGAAACCAAATTCTTAAAATGTTATGAATTATCACCAAGTGATAATAATTATGGCATTCGCGTTGCTAGAATGTATAAAGAAAGTAAAAATTGGGAAAAATATTCAGAAATGTGCAATGAAATTTATCAGAAAGAGCCCTCTGAAATAAGAGTAAGATTAATTCTTGCCCTGTTTTTTATAACTCAAAAAGATTTTGTTAATGCTAAAAGTTGTTTAGACTATGTTGAAAAATCACTGCTGCCAGAAAAAACATCAAAAACATCAAAAACTTACTATCATTATTTGGCAAAATATTATGAAGAAACTAATGATTACTCTGTAAGTGTTTAAAAATTTTCTTTACCTAATGAAAGCTTTCTATAAAACTTTTTTTTCAGAAAGCTAAAGAAAATTATCTGAAGGCTACTGGTGAAACAGGCAATTTCCCTGCTGATATGGATTATCTCAATCTGATTAGAAATACATTACAAAAACAAAAAAAGTACAAAAACATTAGAAATACATCAAAGTTCGATTATAAAATTATCAAACATCTTAAAAGTATGTTGAATAAATATGAAGACAACAAGAATCTTTTTATACATATCTTACTAAATTTGGCTATTATTTATTTATTTGATGCCAAAAATTATAAGCTAGCAGCTGATTATTTTTTAAAGGCTATCAAGGAAAATCCCTGCAATCGACAATTAGAGGTATGAACCAAAAACATTTTCAATTCTCTAATAACATCAATCTGTTTTTATTTATAAATTACATTTTCATTTCAGAATTTCCATACACGTATTATACCTAAAAAGAATTATAATATCTATGAACTCATTAAAGAAAAAATCTTTAATGAAAAAAATAGAAATAATTCAAATGCTTTAAAAGAATTAAAGAATTACTATACAGATTATAAGAAACGAATGGAAAAGACCAATGTTCCAGATTCACTGGAAAAAAAGTTTGCTGAAAAACTGTCAGTTAAAAAATCACATTAAAAATGTATCAAGTGAATATTAAAACAGAAAATTTGATACTTTAGCCAATTTTGGTTTGTACAATCACTGCCTGTCAAGGAGAAAAAATGCTTTGAAGACTGAAATAATTAAGATACACAAATGTATATTATACATTTTTTTATGACGCTTCCTTAACTTAGATATTGTTGTTGCTTTTTAAATATTTTCTTTGCAATTGAGTGTAGTGTTTTAAAAGCCTATCGATTTATGAATCACATTATGAAAATTAATTTAAAGTGTATTAAAATACAAGTGTATGTACCATTTACAATTTTTAATTGTACGACTGCTATGATTGTGAAATAAATACACTTTACTTTACTTTTATTGAACTGAAACATTGGGAATGATTTTCTTCACCCAACAAAGTCCTTGTATAATGATCAAATTTTCTTTCATTTTCATGAATTTTGTTCAACCATTAATGTTAATTGTTTAATTCTTTCGAAGTAGTTGCTGAAAGGAATCAACTGTTCTTTTTCGTATTTTTAATTTAAAACGATTAACACAGGACTAGTATGAAACAGACTGAGTGTTTCCACAAATGACAAAAGAGTTTATGAGCATTATAATAGTGTGTATTTACATTTTACAGTTTATGCAACTATGCACTATACTTTTACTAAAAGTTTATTTTTAAGGATTACTACATCAGTTGAAACAAATGAATTTACATTCTAAATTTTTGGTAATTGACTTCAATAAGATTATTTATAAAAACATTGAAGAATGAATAATATTTATTTCTTATTATTGAAATTTCTTATCGAGCTATCATATTAACATTTTATGGAATCTAAATCATCGTTTCCACAGTTTGTACCATGCATTGTGCATTGCATTTGGTAATAAACTTATAATTTGTGAACTACTTGGCTTTGAACAACAAAGCTATACAAAATATGTATTTACTATTTAGGAAAATATTATGAAACTTCTCATAATTATCTGGTAAGTATTATAAATTTTTTCTTAAAAATGACAACTTTTGATATGGTGTTTTTGTTTTTAGAAAGCAAAAAATGATATGGAGACGCAAAAGTTGTACTTTATTTATATCGCTATGACTTATTTACATAAAAATAAACATCGAAAGCTAGCATCAGATTATTTTTTAAAGGCATTAAAGATAAATTCTTGTGATCCGCCTTCAGAAGTAATATAGTATGTCCAGAATTGTGAAATGTTGTTGATTTTATGTATCATTTTTATATATTACAATACTGTATACTAGCTTTGAGAAAATTTATATTTTATTGTTTTAATTTTTAAGTTATCTTGCGAGTAAGGTTGCATTCTAATTTTTTTCAATATGAGAGAACCATGAACATTAATAAAAGAATATTTAAATTAATAAATCTCACCCTTAATACTAACCAGTAATTCAATTTGGCTCACTCATTTTCATCATTGTGATTGTTGTCTACTAATTAATTGGAAAAATTATTTTAACTGTATCCACTACTATTATAATATAGCGTAAATCCTTTGGTTTATTAAAAATAATAATAAACAGCTTTGATTGGTTCATATGAAAAAAGCTAATACTTTTTAGCATGAAGCATGGCAAATATGAAAAGATATTAGTTATTCCAAGTGGCAAGCGATAAGTATTTGTAACTTAGTAAAAAAACAAGATTGTAATTTAGTGAACAACAACATTTATTAAATGTACAGACAATACTTTAATTGTAATTACATAAACATACCAGTACTATACTCATTTAATAAATACAAAAATGATGACAAAGAAAGAAGCAAAAAATATCCAAACATTGAATCTAATGAATATTGGTAAATACTTTAACATTAATCAGTTTACAGTTCATGGATATACAGCTGATAAATAATAAATATGGTTTTATTATCTAAATGCTTCAGTATATTTTCACAACAAAGATACGGTAGACACATTTGGGTCAGTAATTGCACAAGATTAGCTTCTCTTGCTACTTGTTCGAAAAATCCACGAATTAAACTTTGAGTAATATGACCTTTTATAACATGATGGATAGGAAAAAATATTTTATCAAAATCTTTTGAATTTACTAGAAGTGAATAATCACAAAGTTTTAATAATTGGTATGTTTCACTCAGGCTTGAAGAGCATAAATCAAAGAGCGATAAACTACTATTAATCATGGTATTTTTGGCTTCAGCAAAGCCGCCTTTAACTTTCTGTTCATCTATAGAGTAGCCTTGAGAAGAATCAAACATCTGCAATTTATCTTGAAGATAATTGCGTATTGCTGGATCCAAGTACATTTGTCCTATTCTTATGGTATCTAGATGGTCTTTAATAGATTCATATACGTCCTCTTCCTCTATCATGTCTCGTACTTCTTCATTCCCACGAATGAATTGATCAATTTTGCCTATATAGCCTGATAAAAAAAAAATTATTAATCATATGTTTCTTGTCATTCAAATAGTTTTAAAAAAGATGAGTTTTTTTACCTAGTTCTATTTCATGTGATAAAATGCTGATCAATTCAATTTCATCAAACCCATTCAAAAATTTCATGACAGTCAGCTTTTGATAATTACTCATAAGAAATCCTTTTCTCTTTAAAAGTGCTATGATAGCTAGAAGATTTTGAGTCATTTCCAAGTTTCGTAAGGTTTTGCTACCAGGGTCTAATAAACCTCCTTGGAATTTCACAGCGTTGATGCAGGCACCATGTTCCAATAGAATCTCAACTACGTCATAGTTGCAGTACGAAATAGCCACATCAAGTGGAAAATTTCCATCGTGATCTTGAATGTTGACATCTGCTCCATGTTGTAATAGCATTTTCATTACCTCAATAACAGTAGGATCACTTTTTCTGAAATACATTTCTTCTACATTAACCATGCCTTCTCCATCGATTTTCCAACAAGGAAGCAAGTGCAATACTGATTTGCCTTTCTTGTTTACATGTGCTAAATCAACATTATAATTCAAAAGCATTTCTAATGCTACTTGTTGTGCTGTACACATACCATAAGCTTTATCATAAAATAGATTCAATAGGGGACTGTTACCATCTTCATCTTGGGTATTGACATCAGAGTTATACTGAAGTAACACTTGAATAGTCGACAACCAATAACTGTGATTACGAATTGGTAATTCCAACGACATTTTTAAGCAAAAAAGATTCAAAGGTGTGAAATCTTGCCATATTTTGCCATTAGGATCTGCACCATTGCTTAACAGCATAATAACTGCATCAATGTTAAACGAGTGAGTCACATAATGTAGTGGTGTGGAATCATCAACGCTCAAGTGATTCACGTCAACGCCTTGATCTATAAACCTTTGCATCATATCAACATTGCCACATAGGCAGGCCATATCAAAATGTGATAATCCTTTTTTATTGGTATAATTCACATGATCGTATGTGTTGAAAAGTAAACCCACAACTTCTGGACGATCTTCTTCGGTCCTATAATAACCCTTGTTCGCAATGTGAATTGCCGTTCCAGTTGACTCGTCGAGACGGCCGACTTTTATGTCAGCTCGGACGAAATATCTCACGATTTTGAAACATCTCTCTTTGACAGCGCGTATTAGTATCCAATTGAGATCCATGGAATTCATATCCACCAAATCTTCATCGAAAAGCGAAACGGAAAGATCGTCAACGTTGTTCACGCTGTCGCACTCTCGCTTCATGTTTTCGAAGAGTCTCTCCTTTGCACTTGGGGCATTCATTGTATCTATTGTATGTTATCACACAAGCAGATGCACTTTTCAATTCGATGAGAATGTGGATTTCACACTTAACAATGGGCAATTTTCACTTTGCTGTGGAATCACTGGTCACGACTTGTCGACGTTTGTTTATGTTTCTTTGCGGCTATAGTATGCAGCGCACTGGCGATTGACGGTTGTATTGTAATAAGTAAGGCTTTCCCGGCCGCCGCTCGCTGTTTGCTTAGAACTACACGTACTTCCGTATGTGGCGCCACAGGGAAGATCTTGTAAATTCCGAACTATTATGAGTTTAATATGAAATTCAATTTATGACTGCGGTTTGAACCTAAGTTGATTCTATTTGTCTATGTATCTAAATTTTTCTGCACGATTTACTTGTTAGTTGTTAGCACAAGAAACTGGACTTTATTATTGATGAAGGATGATGATGAACTCAACTATAAATCTTTATACCTAGTGTCTTTCCGCGTGTGGCGCCTCAGAGAGGATCTTGTGAGTCCCCCTATTATGACTCATATGAGCGTAAAATCAAATTTACTAGATGGGAATTTCCAATCATCAAATTGAAATCAGTTTGGTTGAATCATTCGTTATCGAAAGGAACATAAAAAAGTTATTTCAGAATTGTATACATATACTTAAAAAGTTTTTATTTTTTTATTCGTGTCGAAGCGCGACGAAAGCATCAATGAAGATGTAAAAAAAATTTTTTTAGGTCAAGAATACAAGGAAAAGTATTTATTTTGAATAACAAATTTTCAAGATTCCTTTTAAAATTCGTGCTTTTTTTAAAAAAAGAAAGCCAATTAAGTTTATCAAATAATAAAAAACAAATTATTTATTGTCGATAAAGTAGAAATCTCAGACAAATCCCCGTCTTTCCCCTTCCTTTTGCCTCGAATGCCATTCAGTCGTGTAGCTGCTTGAGATGTTATTTTATTTAGAAGTTTTTTTACACGTATAAGTGAAAGTATATGTAGACGTTTTTTACATATATAAGTTAAGGGCCCCGTGGGTAAGTGGTTATGACGCTCGAGTCTCTAAGAGCTTCGGAGCAGACATATAGAGATGTAGGGTTCAAATCCTATACGGGGCCCGGTGGCGTTCAGCGTTGGATCATCGTAGAATAAATGTAATGAAATGAAAAAAAAAATGAAATGAATATATGAAATGAAACAAGATGAAATGAGATGAACACAGGATGACAACTGGGGAAAAACCCCTTTTGTTCTGAAATTGTCAGTTTTTCGCATTTGATAATAATTCGTTTATTCATACACTGGGAAAAAGATTTGGTTGAATCAATTAAATATATTTTATTGAAAAAAATTTAATTGGGGTAACAAAATTGTATTTGAACCAATTAATGATTTTCTAAATTAATAAGAAATATTTATTTATTTCAATTCAATCGTGTAATTTTTGGATTCAAAAAAATATTTATCTATTAAATATTAAATAGTTTAGAAAAACTCGTTTAATTGACTCAACAAAATCGATTCAATTGTTTACCCGAATGAATTTCAATAAAATATTTATTTCGAACAAATAAATATTTTATTGGAATAAACTAATTTTTATTCAATAGATATTATTAAATATTTATTTTTCATTATAATTACCTATATGATTGAGGAAATTAAATATATTATCGGTTTAATGTTATGATAATCTATTCGCAAAAAAATATTGTTGAGTATTATGAAATAAATTGAATGTAATGAAAAAAATATTTAGTTTAATCAATTATTAATTTTCATAAATTAATTTAACATTTATTTTCGTTCAACCATCAATGCGTTTAGGATATATGTATGTAATAATTTGAGGCGAGTTCAAAAATATTCTTAATAGTAACCGAAAAATTTCTCTTTCAAAAACCAATTTTTAAACTTTACACAGAGCTTTATCAAAGCAGTTAAATATCATTAGTTTCCGTTTGCCTTTGCAAAAAGCCTTTGCTCGAACTTAATTTTAGGTTAAATGGGGGTTTCATTTGCGTCTGTAACGTCCTTAAAATGACCTTGTAAATAAAAACAAAATACATGTTTCAACGTAAAATTTTTCTCTCTTTTTAAATCTGCAATAAAAATGGGGGTATCCATTTAAAAAATCGATTTTTGGGTTGCTGGGGCTTCAAGGTTACCTTAACTATTTTGGATCATTTTTTGGAGCATATAGAATTTTGTGGACTTCATATAGCAAAATATAAAAATTTCAAAAGTTTCTCTCATTCCTAAACTTTTCAAAATTCTACTTTAAATTCAATTCTCAATCGTTTGAAATAAGCTGACTGACTTGCTCAGTTTACTTACTTCTTTGTTTAGCTTCATAATGCAAATTTGTTTGTTTCTTCAAAATTGTCTTACTGTTTTTGTAATGAAAATGTATTCTTATTGATTTTAATTATAGTTAATGGGAAACCATTTTAATATTAATAGAAAATTTTCGGAAAAAAACAGCCTATAAACTATGGCACAATTGAAAATATTAAAAAAACACGAAACTGAAAATCGTATAATAATAAGTAAAAATTTGAATAATGAATGTCGTACTCTATGTGATTTTTGAGGATACTTTTGTATCCAAATGATTTGTGACAAATATCACACTTCAAGGGTTTGATATGATTATGTATGTGATTTTTGAGGACACGTTTGTATCCAAATGATTTGTGACAAATATCACACTCGAAGGGTTTGATACGATTGTGTACTGAATTTATGTGATTTTTTAGGTTATTCTTACGGCTGAATGATTTGAGACAAATCTTACATTCAATAGGTTTGATCGAATTGTGTATAATTATTTTATGTCTTTTGAGCTGATTCTGTTCTACAAATGATGATTGGGATTTTTTCGGAAATTGGCAATCATTATCATAATCGAAACCTTTCTTGATCAAAATCATTAAACTTTTTTCATTCGCGTGATTTGTCTGAATTTGGTTCTCAATTTTTGCAATAGGTAGATAACGTTGATACTCAGTTTTGCAAACGGTTGTTGATAAATAATTCAGTTCAAGTTTAACACCTTTGCACTCAAGATCTACGAAAATTTCTTTTTTTATCTTTCCCCGTATCGCAATATCTTCATTGATTTGATCGTCCTGAAATTGAAATTGCGTTAAAGTCGTGAAATCAAAAACACAAAAAACATAATTGAAATCATTGAGCTCACCGATAATTTAAAAAATTTGAATGTTTCAACGCTTTTGACTTCACAAGAGTCCACCGAATCAAAATTAAAATCGTCGCCTGCATCTGGCCAAGTATCTTTCGGCTCTTCCTTTAGTCTAAAGAATGAGTAAGTTAGATGGAGAGATCGCTATTTGAAAGTTATGGCATACATAAAAAGTAATTATACCTAACTGTGTCTTCTCTGCTTTCCATCTCTCACTTGATTGTGTTTATTTTCACTGGAAACTTTTACGTCAATGTACACTGAGATAAATATTTGAGGTTAAACGCCTCACGTAACCAACATTGTATCTGGATTTCACCTATTCGTAAACATTTGCTCACAAAGGAATTGATATGAGCTGCTCGTTAGCGACTACACGCACTATCCGGTACAATAGCAAGTGACGAGACCCATGTCAGTTGTCATTATAGCTTCTTGGATGGTATTTCCCCCTCTACCATAGCCATACTTACTGCAAAGAAAACAGTCACTCGCATGACACTAAAAATATACCGACATTGGTCGTCGTGAGCAAATAAAACAAGCCTTTTATTTGTGGAAATGAGAAAAAGGAATATATGCCGTGAAAATTGAGTATTAACGCGAAGCTACCCATTGTAAGACGCTATAGCGAGAGAAGACGTGAAATTTAAATAATTTACGATGGACCTTGTTGACTTTTTTTGCGATTGATGACGATATTTCTAATGTGCGTTCAAACTGTGGAATAAAAATATTATTTTTTTTTTCAGAATTGGCATAAATTTCTTCGACCAATTTTCACATCTTTAATATAAACCGATCGTTCGTTAAAGATTTGAAAAATTGAAGGAAACCTTTTTTCGTCACTTACCTAGCCTGAAAAAAATGTCAAAAAGGTCGCGATCAGATCGACCGACCTAATTACGACTTTCCTTTGACAAGCCGTGAGCATAATAAGAAAATGAGTTTTGAAAAATTCTCTAGAGCACGAACAGAAACGTGCGCTATTGTCGCTGATTGTGAGTTTGAAATAAAGTACCAAATGTCGTTCTATTAGTTAATTATCCACTGAATGAATTCGGGGAGAAAGGAATTTTTGGATAGTAAATTGTAGCAACATAGGAACAAGTAACATCAAAAAAACTTTTTAAATCAATTTATTTGGTTCGATATAAATTGTAAAAAATATGTAAAACAAGTTAATAACACTGTAGACATGAAATAATACTGCAACATCGTCATCTTGAACTTCGTCGAGCGCCCGCCAAACAAATGTTCCACAATTCTTTACGACTTAAATACTTGAGAACTATATCACAACAAAGAATCGGCAGCCGGTAGTGCATCAATGTTAAAAAGAAATTCAACGCCCACCTTCGAATAATCTGGCCCTAATATAGTCCAGACCCCAGGGGCGCCCCCGTATGAAAAAATATTCGAATGGAATATTTTCATTGTTTCTTGTGGAAAATGGTCGTCTAAATCCGAATCTGCATGTTGGTAAACCGGAAAATGGTCGGAAAATTTTATAAACAATTTTCTTTACACAAATTGCACAAATTTGAAATTTTCCACCCAAAACTAATTTTTTTAGGTTTTTGGGGTCATTTTAAACAAAAAAGTACTCTTGTGATTTTTCTCTAAAATTGATATTTTTCGAGATATTTAACATTGAAATTTCAAAAAAACGCGAAAATGGCGATTTTCAACCCTCTGTAAAAGGGTTAAAAATTATGAATTTCGATGTTGGCGATAGTCCTACATTATCTTTATATCTTCATTAATGAAATGAAGAAATGAAAATTTGCAAAACTTAATTGTTAAGCTATGGTTTTTAGACTCAAATGATAGGCGCGCGCATACGTGTATACGTGCTATACACGTATACTGTATACTGTGTGAGCGGCTATACGCTCACGCAGCGTATACACGTATGCGCGCGCCTATCATTTGAGTCTAAAAACCATAGCTTAACAATTAAGTTTTGCAAATTT